TCTGTCTGATGTGCATGAAGATGAGTGAGCGTTGTGACGTTGATGGGTTGGATTCGTGAGGAAGAAAATATGATGGAAATTGTTTCCGATCTCGAAGAATGCATTGCGGTGGAAACAGCGCGATCCATGTGACGGAGGTCACAAAATGAACATGAGTGGAATGTTGTAGAGGAAGTGAGAAAGAAGGAATAAGACGAAATGCACACATTGGATGGCTACATGCTACTACTTCACTTGATCTCAATTTCGGGGTATAGTCTCTGGTTTCTTTATTTTGCAGCTATTATGTTGTGTGATAGCATGTGACATGAAGATAGTGAAAACTATTTTGAAAAAGGCAGTGCTATCATATCTATGAATGGTACTTGTATAGTATTTGATGTGCGTTTTTAATAACAGTTGCACGTCTTCTACGAAACACAAACTCAATAAAGTCATTTTGTTTGTCGTCTTCCACAGTGTAGAATGACAAAGATCAACCCTCCGAAACTGTTCTCACACAACAAACCTACACAAGTCAGGAAACAAATTCGGACAAGAAGCGATCAAATATGGTGCTAACTTTACTTAGGTAAAATATATGCAACTTATCTCAATCCTTTCCTCGTGTTTCGATAGAGTATGAACGGTTATCGAAATTTGTTCAAAAGTTGTTGTTTTAGTTTAATCTCTTGGAAAAGAAATAGTTAAGGATTAATTATTAGTATTTTTTGTCGGATATTTCAAGATTTGATGTCATCTGTGGTACAGGTTTTTTGTAAAAAGTTGTGCAAGATAATTTTAGCAGATAACGGTCATAGAGAGTTGCGGCTTTTTGTATTTTTAATATATATTTATATAATCATATTGCTTTTTTCTTCTTCAAAAAACCTGTCATTTATCGATGTCATATGATTTTAGCCGAACTGTAAGATCTAGATGAGTTGCTCATCGTAGAATCAATATTCCACTTGAAACCATTTATTACAATACTAATGAATTATAACAAACCTTTGTTAGTCTAAACATCTAAACGAATATTATAAATATCTGACCATGAAAATAGATTAAGTTCATGGATACGATAATGTTGCAAATAAAAGTGTGTTCTCTATTATAAATTGAAATAGAATTTTTATGGCTTTTATTTTGTTTATATTCTTGAAAAATACTTATGTTGTGTTACTAGATTTAAGCAATCAAAAAAGCAATTTATGTAGTTGAGAAAAAATTCATTAAAAAACACGCTTCCCAAAAGATGATAATTCGAAATTTGTCAGATATGCTATTAAAAAATTCGTTATCACTAATACGCCATAAATAATGATATATTCAGCTAATATCTTAGTTGTTAACTTCAAAAAAAATGTTCGGTCCGCCAGAAAACATAATGTAGAAAAAGAAAATTATAAAAAATAATAATGAACTCTGATTTCTTTCAGGGGAAAAATGTTGATTTATATCATGATTCCGCAATATTCAAGAGAAACAAATATTTGTTTCCGTTTCCTTCTAAACGTGAACGAATGCATCATAAATTTATGAAACTTTATAGTACTGTTCATAGAGTATCGATAAAAACCTATAAAATAATTCGAAGAAAACACGTATACAAAATAATATTTGTAGAAAAATATGTGCAAGTTTTTTTTTTTTACCAATACCTATTTAATGCATTGACACTATCTATAGATCGCTGTTTATAGTGAATCTTCAATGGAGTACTGTCATTATGTTCATTCTTGAACTGATTTGTCTTTCAATTGATAGATTAATGTTTTGATTCATTTCTAGTTTGTGAGTTAAATCTGAATGAACTTCTTGATGAGTTATGTTCCTTAACTTAGCATTAACTATTGTGAAGATGACACGACTATGATCAATATCAATAATTCTTCATACGGACTAAGAAATACTGATTCTTAGAGTCATTAGCAATGTAAAAAAAACCATTTGCTATAAAAATAAATAAGGACTCTAGAGAAGAAACTGAATTGCTTTAATATTTTTACTCTTTAATTTTTAAAATGTTAAAACTATTATTCTGGATCGAATGACATACATTGAAATTTGGTGACTGTATCATCGATGAAGATTTATCGACTGAAAAGTAAAATACAAATGAATTAATTTTCTTTTAGATGTCTATGATTATTCGATAGAAAGGAAAAAGAAATTATAATAGATCATAGTTCTGTTGTCATAAAACAAAATAAAAAACTTTTTTGTCTAATATATTCAATTCAATTATACTATTTATAATTAAAGATTAAATTAGTGTTATACTATTTTGATAAATCAAATTCATTTTTTGTCTTGTTTTGCACCAATGTGGTTTTCAGTTGATTATCAAAAATCCAAAAAACCATGTAGAAAATATGTAAACTCATCATGAAATAATTGAATTCAAAACATTTCTTTTTTCATATTCATTTTGTAAGTTTTTCTCAATACCATAATAAATATTGCATTTATGTATGACACAGTTTTTTGTGAGTATTGATGTCATGGATAAAATGAATTTAGTCTTGTTAATATGATATGCTCCATTTCAGATATCGTTTTTCTTATTACTCCTATGAGGTATTTACATAATTTGTTCGTCCTCTATTTCAAGGATTTTTTTTTTCTAAACTTAATCAAATACATATATTAAAGTAAAAGCCTTTCGTTGTGTATTGCTGTCAATGTTCAGATTGATTGATATACGATTTCTTGTTCGAAATGTAACTATTCAACTGCCATTATACAAACCGTAATCAAAATATTTTCTCATTTCATCGTGACTTGAAGCAAAATATTTTGACAACTTAATCAATTAGACCGTTATCAAATCAAGATGTAGAATATTCTTGAGTTTTATACAATATACCCTGCTGAATGTGTCCGTCGTTGAAAAATACTTATCAATGAAAAATCGTTTTTAAAAAAATCTGAGAAGCTTTTCGAAAAAAAAGTCTAACGCCGGAGTATTTAATAACTTGTTAACATCTCTTTATTCAATTCACTTTCCGTAATAAGAATATTAATGCAAAGATAAAGTTGTTCTCAGAAAAGCAAATCTCTTCTATATTTTTATATGATTGATGATCTATAATCATTTGAATTATAAATCATCAATAAAGTCAATCCTTCTACTTCCATCTAAATAAAAATGTTAGATATTGACTAACATATAGAAAATATTCATCATAATTCTAATTACTATATTTATTCTTTTTGTTCGTTTATTTGTAATCGATTCTCAAGAGAATTTTTTATTCGAATTTATTGATAGCGGACGATCCATCAGTAATGGGACAGTTCGATTTTCTGTTTTTAAAGAACGGAAACATCGTTCAAAGGTGCCATTCTATGTTCGTTCAGTAGAGAATTTTTCTATTTACAAAAAATATGCACGTTCGTTTTTTAAATAAGTTTTTCTTGTTGACGAAAAATTCGAAAGATTAACGACTACTTCGCTACCCAACAGCGGTCTGCTGATATTTTCTGCGAACATTGAACAATTTGTACAAGCTTGTTCTCCTCAAGTTTGATGCTAAATGTAAAGTGTTTAATATTAATAGATAAAGAATTTTTATGCTCTATACTCCAATGGTCTTTTCTCAAGGCTTCTAATGGTATCGTTCAAGTACAAAAGGCTTGGAACTAACACTAGGTCATATTTTATTTTGAATTCGCTTTTCAATATTCGTAGTTTCACAAGCTAGCGTACTCTACGAACGGTTTGTCATTATATTATCGGATGCAGAATTTTATGCTGAATAAAGTAAAGTAGTATTTAAACGGAATTACGAAAACCTTTAGATTGTCCTGACTTAAAAACAAGCAATGGCATAGAGCTTTCAAAATGAATTTTTTGCTCGAAAAATTATTTTTTTAGTTTCTTTTCTCGAAAATTGCAAAACATCATGAGATGCAGTATTTGACGGGGTATCTTGCAAGATATTTCGAATTTCAGCAGAACTATTATTTAAACATATTGTTAATAACTGTTTTGTTTTCTGACCGTCTCAATTCAATGGTTGAATGGTTTTCAGTCTTTTCGAATTTTCTGTGACATGAGAAACTTGTTTGAAGAGCAAAATCGATAGTTTTGTAGAGTAAAAAATTTTCGATAGAATGAGTTTAGAATGATATTGTTAAACTGAGTTATTGTCTTCAAAAAACAAAAGAAAATTAAAGCGTCCCATTAAAATAATCAAATAAATCTCGTTTTGAAAATGATTCTATCACTTTCGAATGTTTTCAATAGATACTTTACTCAATTCAAATGAACTAAAACATTATATGAAGATTAGTAGTACTAATCGTCTAACTATTATAGTGATGAAAATCGAAGAATCACATAAAATATGCGTCTCGATAAACGATATATAAAAAGAAAATAAAGTCATGTGTGCAATTCTTTGTTTTTCTCTATTGGCAAATAACACGAAAGAAGAAAGAAAGAAAAAAAAACAAGATCATTCTAAGAAAAGGTGACTCACTAGACGAATAACTCAGATAAGATGATATCAAAGAAAAAAGTAGCAAATTTCATCTTGATAACAAAAACACTTTGTTTTTTTAAAAGAATATCTGATTTATATTTGATATATGGTTTCATAATAAATATAAATAATTTTGAAGCTATATTTAATTATATGATATGGCTATGCATAAATACAAATAAACATACACACATATGGAATGTATTAGACAAATAAACAATTTATGTCAACAAAATGTATCTTATAATTTTTTTTATAAAACAATCGATCATGGTCACAATGAATATATATTCAAATTAGTTCATTATACATTCATTGAGCTTTGACTGTGAATGACAATTTTACTATATAATCATTTTCTATTGTCAAAACATATTATTAATTATTTTTCTTTTTTTTATGTAATATTTTTCTGGATGACCTTGAGAAAAATCTTTGATGGCGAATTATGTAATTTGATATGCAAAAGATTAGTTAAATTATTTGAAAAATATTTTAGATATTCAATACTTTTAGATTATAAAATAAATGATCTTATTAGATTTATTGAGTCTTTCGGTTAATATTTTATGTCTTATACAAAAATTACCACAAATTATTCGTATTTATAAAACAAAAAATGTTGCTAGTATTTCAATATCATCTGTCTTACTTGAAGAAACGGCGTAAGAAAATAAACATAATGAAATATATATTTTTTCTAAATTTCATTCACCTTAGTTATACATTAGTTTTAACTTATAATCTTTGGAGAAATTATCCATTATCGGCATTTTTTGAATATATATTTCTTTTTATACAAGGTAGAAAAATTTTTTTTTTTTTTAAGAATGATTATGTCAAATAATTAGTTTAGATATATTTCTTCTATGGGCATTGGCAAAATATTCAACAAAAGATAAAGATAAACAGAATGACGGATCAAAACCTTTATATGGAATATTAATGTGAATACAAAAACAATCCTTTATAATCAAATATCATTATATATTATTTATTTTTGAATAGTTTTTGTCTTTATCTAGCAGCAAGTTCGTTGAAACTTCTACCAAAAAAATGGATGAGTACTTGTACTGTAAGAAATTCTATTTTGATTTGGAAATAAATATAAGTTTTTTTTTTTTTTTTTTTAATAAATATTTTCACTGTAGATGTTTGTTATTCCTATTGGTGCTTCATCAAAAATAATTCAATTGCGAACAATTCTTTCAAATAAAAGTGCTGGTCAAGTTAGTCGAACTGGTTGGGCAATTGCATCTTACAGTAATTTTGGTATGATGTATTAATCTTTATTTATCTGTTTGTTTTTTTAAAATTTTAAAATTTAATATAATTTAGCTCGAATAATTACAAATCTTGTTCAAACAAAAGATATGAGTATGGTGATAAATTTATTAATTAGCTTCGTTCTTAATATTTCAATTGTGATCGCTTGTACGATTTATTCCAATGATTCTGTATCAAAACTGACAGATAGAAGAAAGAAAAAGACAACATAAATACAATACATATAAAGACGAAAACAACATATATATGCTTAATTTTGATAAGTGATATCGTATAATAAATGACAGAGCCTATCAAAGAAAACACAAACAACAATTTGATATATGATTCGGATCATCTGTTTTAAGATATTCAAAAAATAATTGTTTTGCTTTATCTTCTTCAAGTTTATCTTGCTTAGTTATTTGATAAAAAGATTTTTCTGCTGTTTTTTCATCAACACCAAAAAATTGACAAGTTTTTATCCATTCATCAATTGCTATAAAACCATCATGATTCAGATCAAGCATATTAAATGTTGTATTTATACGTTGAGATATATGTTCTAATACTTCCGGATCTGTATCAGGTTTACGTAACTCATTTGCAAGATTTTCATGAAAATTAAGCCATTCTTCTTGAATAAAAATATTTCTTTGAAAAAACAAAATAAATTACTGGAAAATCTTACCTAATGTAACTTTTCCATCTAGATTAGCATCAGCTCTCATGATTTCTTGACAAAGAGTTTTTCTTGCATTTGCATAGTCTTCACGTCGATGCACATCATCTTGTCCAACAAGCGTTGAAAGTTTATCAGCAAGAATTTCAAAATCAGCCGGAGTTATTGAACCATCTCTGTCAGCATCTAGAAAACAAGAATATTTAGCACTTAATTAATAAAGCTATTATTTGCTGGAAACTATCTACCATAGAGATGGAATAAGTGTTTCATTTTTTCATGCCAAAATTTTTTTGTTTCATTTGTCTAAATTAAATTAAGAGAGAAGAATGTTTGGAAAACATGACTTCAATCATCAAAATCTATTATGTACCATTATGTTGTTGTTAAAATACAGAACGCGCGCTGAAATATTCGATGTGGTTTAACGTTAATGTAGTTCTATAGTCTAATGTGCAGAGATAGAGACTTTTTTCTTTCTCTCGGGAATATTCTCTCTATCTCTCAGAATAAATTATCTACTCGACGTGCGGAAATGGCGGTGATGTTGTTGTTATTTCATTCTGTCCTAGTTTTGAGTCGCTTCCACTTCGCACACAAACAATATAGCATACGAACGAAGAAACAGATACGAATATCTAGAACTGAGAAGTAATTCATAGATGTAGGAGAATCTTTATTGCTTCTTTTTACGCGATAAATTTGAATTAAATAGAAAAGACTAAGCCATGTATGACGCACTTCATTGAAGAACAAATCATTTACATGACAACAACATTCTTACTGCTTCAATGACAATAACAATAATAATGATAAAAATGGATATTCCAAAATTGGTAACAGCTAAGCTATTTAAGAACGAGAAAAAAAAGCCATATTTATTCATGTCTCCGGGCAATGTAATGCGTCCTCAATGTGCGCATATATATATATATATAAATGTAGTAGATACAACGATTGAAAATCTGATAAAAATTAAACACATGTACATCATTCTTTTTCTATTATTATATATTATTGATTGACAAGGTCGAAGATGTCATAAAATGTTTTGTTTAAGTGACAACCGAATCAATATAAATAGATAAAGAAATTCGAAATATGAATTTTCTTTTTATTCTACCGACAACGAAAACAACAAAAATTTATTCTTTTTGAGAATGAATGCTATAAAAAGAACTTAAAAGAAATTCGATAAATAATCCACGCAATAATAACAAGAAATATAAAAAGACTGAATGCGACACGCCTGTAAATAATTCTATATTCTATTAATTGTTCGTTCACATGAGAATTGTTTTCTAATGAATTATTAAAAGCTATGTTATCATATTGAACACCTTTTTTTTCTAATTTTCTTGTACATGATAGAAATTCATCAAAATTGAACAATGTTAGTGCACATAATGTTTGAACTATTCGATGATTTGTTAATATTATATTTTCTGTATAATGTTTTGTTAATAGAAAACGTTTTAAATAAAAAGGCTTTGCTCGTATTAAATAAATCAGTTGAAATAAATTTTTTGATGTAAGTTCTTTCGATTGATGATACCATGATGAAAATCGATAAGAAAATGTCCATACGTCTTTTTGTGTACGTTCAGCTTCATGTACATTAAATGAATATTGTTCATAATCGGTTAATATAAGTGATTTTCTGTCATATGAATATTTTCGAATGGATGGTTGACTTAAATAACCAATAGGACTAATAGATGGATGTCCAATAATACCCATCGTTGTATTTAATGATGAATAAACACGAAATAGATCTTGATGACGATGAGCACTTAAACACATTATTATGTTTGATGAATATTTATTAATTATAGATAAAAGTCTTTGTTCGTATTTTATATGATAAAACTTATATAATAAATTTTCATTTATACCAAATGGTACATGAGCTAAAAGTAGTACACGATCATTGAGATTATGTGCATCAAACATTGTTTTATTAAACCACCTGAAAATGAAATGTACTCATTCAATAAAACATATATAACACTGATAAGTTTTTTCAGAAAAAAAAAACATCGAAAGTTGTTTTCAACATAAAAAACAGAATCAGCAGACTTTAGCAGTTAACAACACTTCAGACAATGTTATTAGGCTTGCTCAAATTTATAATATTAATTAGTTCTAATTTAGAACGTCTATTGTCATTAATAGAATTATTATACACTCTGATAAGAATTTCTTTCTTCGTAACCGTTCTTTATTAATATAGATATCAAATAGATCGGCTGATAATAACACAATTTCTTTTGATAATGTTGTTCTTTATTCTATTTATATTCTAATAAATCTTAAATTCGGATGCCGTTTTGACATTTTCCGTTTTCTTCTAATTATCATGAGATACTATTATTAGCTTATATTTTATTAGAATAAAGACAAACATAACAGGAAAAGAATAAAATCTAAAGAAACAATTAATTTTTGCTTGAAGAAAATTAGTCAATCTCAAGAGTTCATGAGTCTTTCAAAGTAAATTATACGATGACTTTCTCGTTGATTACTTCTTAACAACAGAGTAGTGTCATACACTCAGGAAATGAAGGATATGGAAAATACATCCGATTTTTCAGACACGACAAGAGCTCTTATTTTCTGTATTTCGTTCTTTGAAGCAAACAAAAAAACAGTCAAGTCGAATAAAAGTCTGTTGAATTTGCTCTTAATAAATTAGTTAGTTTACATACATAATTTGTTCATTAGGTTCATTTGAATCAAAATAATCCATATACTGTGGTTGAAACATTGCTGTATTAAGTGCAATAAAACGTAAAAATGTTTGTCGTTTATTTCTTAGTGTTCGAAAACGTATTGAATAATAACCACCTAAAACAAATCTGTATTTTAATAATATCGATTCTGATTAATTTTCAATCAGTTTGTTTTGTTTTTCTTTTTATAATTACCTTTGAGAAATGTTGGGAGTGCATTATCATCATTTAATAATAAATTATATTTTGTTTCTTTATAAAATTGTATAAAACGTGTTGATCGGTTTGCTTTTAAGATAACATCATGATTTCCTAAATAGATAAAAAGAAAAAAAAAAAAGTATATATTTCTATCAATTGTTTTGAAAAAAAATTCAAAATTTACCTAAAACAGGAATAACAAGGGTTTTTGGAAAATGTTTTCTTAATTCTTGAGAAAAATTTTCATTAACAGATAGAATTGTATCATCACTCTGAGATAGATGACTTGTTGCATCACTAAAAAAAACTTATAATTAAATAATTTCGAGAAAATAAATAAATCTATACCCAAGCCAAATAATAAAATCAATATTTGAATCAATTTTCTTCGCAGCAGATAATGTTGATATTAATAATTCATTCGGTGTATCACAATCGAAATGACCAAATTTTCGATTTTTCTTTATCATATTATTTAATGATACATTACGACAACGAGTAGATGGATCACCATCATGTCGATAAAGAACATCAACATGTGAATCAGTAAATACCCAAAAATGACCTAAACAAAAATAAAACATAAATTAAATCACTATTTCAAAATTATAAATACCTTCAGTTAATTTCTCTTCATTTCTTTTTAATTCGACTTTCACATACAAAGTAATAAAACAGACAAACAATACCCATATCAATAATGAATATTTTTTTAACCATGTGTTGATGTTCATTGTAATTTCATCACACTTCCAGTAGTCCACCTTGAGCATATCTTTATTTCTCTATACCACGAATCATTATGACACGAATAATAGACTATCTTCGTGTGCATTTTACATTGATCAAGTTGACTGCTTTCTCATACGTTGACAACGTGGCAGACACATGTAGGTTGTTATTCAAATATTCTTTTCTTTTTACATAAAAAGCGTTCGATGTCATAGGAGGAAAAAAAGGTCACCTGTACGCTTTTCATACAACTTTTTTTTTTTTTTATGAAACATGGTGAGCATTGTGTGAATAGGAAGAACAGAGGACGGTACGTGCGTTATTCTTTTTAGAAAAAAGAATTCTTAAACAAATATTGCTTTTTTTCTTTTAGTTCCAAGAACAACGAATCAAATGAAGTTTGATTCAGAATTTGATGATTTGCTTTCAATTGTTGAGAGTTACGATTATTATTAGAAATGTTGATTCTGACATTTATGAATGTGATTGAGCTAATAAAAAACATTTTTCGATATTTTTCTTTCATCCAATCGAGCATGAAATTAATTGGAGTACATAATGAAAAAAAATTGTGTGATTATAATGATATTGTGTTGAAAAATATAAATAAACAATAGGAAAACTATTTTGGGTTTTCACTCTAAAATAAAGTTTCAACAAACTGTCGTTCATCATTCATTTGATGCACTTATATTAAAAATATGTTGAGTATAATGAAAAGAAATAAGAGAATAATGTTATTCCAAATTACTACTAATATTTTTTGATGGCATCAGTCAATGTTATCTTTAACGATTCTTCTCAGTAGATATTCTGAGATACGCAAACAATCTCTTAACACATCGAGTCTTTATTTATTACAATCAATGTCATTTTAATAAGCTTTTAAAATCTTTTTCTAATGAGCTAAACTTGTTTTATTTAAAAAACAGTAATAGAAAAATTTCTCACATCATTGTATTTATCTTTATTATTTACAAGATTGTCGCTTTAAAGCTAAACAAACTTTATTGATCTTTAAAATAATTGAATTAGTTTTCCGATATCATGCCAGTAATGAGGTTAACATGGATGGACTCCATATGATAAGATTATCAAGGAATAGACGCTTTAACATACAGTCTAGATGATGCCATCTTTACATATGTCAGAAAATAATCGTTTCTATGATATTCGATTATGCTTTTAGTCTCAAAGCTGTTTTATATAGAGTAAAAAGTACAATGTTTTCTTATTATTCATAAACATATTCAAATGATCATGCTCTATTGATTTCATTGCATTTGAGAAAACATTAATATGCTAAATTTAGTTCTTGAATATAAAACACAGTTAACATATACTGATAGTTTAACAAATTAGTAATAATATATAACAGATAAGGAAAATACAAAACACAAGCATGGTGTGTATAACATTTGTTTTTTTGGTACATTTGCATTGACAATCGACATTTGTGTTTGTAAATATGACCTTTGATAAACTAGAATGTCACTATCGTCCGTTATTTATTCTTGCATGAAAAACCATATTGATTTATGATTAGAAAATGTCAAGATCAAATAGAAAATGACCACAAATGTAAATAATATTTTTTAGCCGACAACAAAATATGCAAATATATCAAAATACGTTAGAAAATATATGAAACAATGGAAATTAATAAAATAAAGAATATTTTCATCTTAATCATTACAACATCTGAGAGACATTCGAATTGTGATTAAATTAGGTGTGATTGAAAGTGATTTTTTTATTTATACGAACTATTGAAAAGGCATTTTGCATTTTTAGTAACATGTATTTCTTACAAGAATATCAAAAAATAATAAGAAAAAGAAAAATAATTGTCATCATAATAATGAATGTTTTCATGTTTAACAATCCTCTTCATTTTAAAGCTAGATTCGTTTTCTTCATGTTATATTAACCTTTTTTGAGCTTTCTAACGAGCATATCCTTGAGCATCGACTAGGTTTGTGTCATGATAATAGAAAATTTCAAAATGACCAAGTTGTTGTTGCATATTCAAAGGATAATCACGATCTTCATTAAAATTTGACATTACTTTTTATCAAAAGGAAAAAAAACAACACAAAATAACTCATTATAAATCTTCGAAAGAAAAAAAAACATCGAATGATCAAGCATTATTTGAGATAAAAAAAAAGACTTCATTATCGGCATCAAAGCTTATTTATATATTAATTACATTACTATTTATAACAAGTGACCCGTCACAACTGAAACTCAAATATAGGAGAGTTCTGCTATAATCTTTCGATTGAGATGCGTGCATATATATAGAGATAGATCTCATGCTACAGTTACCGTACATCAATGAAGCCCTGCAGCAGTGTCTGAATCACTAAAAGAAATTATTTCGAAGTCGGAATAATTGTGAAGAATTTTCTTCGGAGTTAATAGCAGTGTTAAATCAGTTAAGGGGGCCCCCCCCCCTCAGAAAATCCATTTTTTGGTAAAGTAATCGAAGTCGAGTTTTTATCATAGGAAGATGCAGCGAAGTTTCCTCTTTCAGAATATATATAAATTTTTAAAAAGAGGCCAAATTTTTACAGNAAATCAAGATTATAAATCGATTAATAATTTCGATTATGCTGCAAAATAATCCGATCTTAATCAGAAAATTTTACACTGGATAAGCAACAATATCAAATAATAATTAAGTCATGATCAACAATAATCAAAATTATCAATCGATTTTAATTTTGATTTTGTTGCACAAAAATCCGATTAAAAATCGCGAAAATTTTTCACTGGGTAACTCATGAGTATTTATGTGACATCGTCTGTAATAAATAATTAAATTCGAAAACTAAGCAAAAAATAGTCGATGTGGTCGATATGGGTGACATGAACGCGATTAAGTTTCCATTGAATCGAGATTTCGACTGCCAGCTAATATTTTTCTAAAAGTTTGAAAATATTCATACGGTGGGATATAAAAAACTAAGCAGAAGATCTAGGATTAACCAATGGTTTGCACGACATTGGTAGATCGATGATGTTCATGACGGCACTGCTGTCACCACGACGACGTCAGCTTCGTGGTAGCCTTGTCTCTTCTAGGACCACAGTGCGGTACATTGCCAACCACGATGGGCATTTCGGCGGCAGATGTTTATTGAAAGATACGATGAATAAAACTTCAAAGAATATGCCATCAGACTATGAAAAAAATAATTAAATCGCTTGAATTGTATGAGAAATTTTAATATTTACTTTTCTGACAAACTTTTGGGATATTCTGTAGGCAAACTTTTTGAATTATAATGAACAAAAAAATGACTTATCAACATTATTATAACTAAATACTTTACATTCATTAAGAATTTTACTAGTAATTAAATCAATAAGAAGAATGAAAACCAACTATAATAAACAAGTGATAGAAATATTTTGAATTTTTTAAAACTTTTATTTCACCGAACTATTTATTATGAAATTGCTTGTTTAACAAGAAAAACTTAATCTAAACTAAAATAGTGTCAAATAAATACTACAAAAAAAGAGTATTTTATAATATTGCTGATTAAAAATAAAAATTTCTCTTTTCAATTCGAGAAATAGAACGGTCAAGATATATCACACAAAATATATTTATATTAACAGAGATAAATGCATATAAACAAGAACAAAACGTTTCCAAATGAAAATAGAACAAGAGATTGATTGGAAACAAAGACCACTATGAGAGCAACGATTAAAATTTAAATAAAACAGATTATTAAAAAAAACGAGCGTAGATTACTGAAAATGAGGCATTAAGACTGTTTCTTGTATTTGAGAGTCTCCAACCACACTACCATCTGCTGGATAAATACCTTCAGCTGTCGTATGTGTCGGTGCATCTGACTGGGCAACACTTCTTGTACTGTTGATATTTGAATTGGTTAATAGTTCATCGTCATCTTCTAGTATTGGTGATGGGTGTCTATCAGACAATAATGAATCTATATTAGAATATTGTTCATCATTTTCATTAATTGGTTCGTAACCGGAATATAATGAATGTCGTCGAGTATATGCAGTGACAAGAATCACAATTATACCAATCATTACTATACTAACCGATCCAACGACAATACCGATAATTCGACCAGTTGTCCACCATGATTTATTCGATATATCACCACCACAATTCATTTCATCTGGATTGAGTGTAATCAACAATTTTCCTGTAAAATTTGATGGTGTAGCACATGTTAATAATGAAGCATCTCCAACAAATTGAGGAAATTTTTTTATAAAACGAATGAACCATAAAGATGAACAACAATCAAATGTATTATTAGCTAAGAAAATTTTAATATTTGTATAATTCATTTTAAGCCATTTATATAAAGGTGATGATTCATCAATAGTAGATATTGAATTATATGTAATTGAATAGGTTTTAATATTTCTTGGTGTTGATAATTGTTGTGGAAGTGAAGTGAATTGATTTCCATCAAGTTCAATTGAAGAAAGTAATGGTAAAGTTGATAGAAATTCACAGGATTTTAATTGATTATTTTTCAATGATAATGCTTGAAGTTGGGTTAATGCAATAAAAGCATTTTGATCAATCTTAGAAATACTTGCACTATCAATATGTAATTTTCGTAATGTAGAACCACGTAACATTACAAAATCTTCTTCACTGATCGATCGAATTTTATTATTACTAAGTGAAATTGTTTGTAAAAGTGAACCCCTATATGACGAAGGAATTTCAGCAGATGTTAATAAAGTATCTTGTAATGAAAGAAAACGAACTTTTGTATGATTAAAAGGTGGAATCATTCCAAGCGGGTTTTGATTAATACTTAAATCTGTCAAACTCGTTAAGTTTTCAATTTTCTCACGATCAGTAACTATAATAAGAAAGAAAAAGTATGTTAATTAAATAAGTTTGCTTGATTAATTTTTACTTCTATCAAATTTGAGATTATTGTGATTAAGTGTTAAAGTAACAACCTTTGAAGGTAAATCAATATCATCCAGATTTTTCCATCCTTTTGTGTCACAATGTATGACAGTATAGTCAATAGAACATTGGCATTGTGTACTGTTGCAAACATCAGCAGCAGCAACTCGGTCAACGAATAAATTAGCCTAAAAAGAAGATAATATTAACAAAAAAAAGCAAGCTAAAGAAGCTTACAATGATGAAAACTGTAATTAGTATATACATAATTTGAAGATCTCTGAAAAAGTGAGTCGGTCTAAAAATAAGTGAAGCTTAAATATTTGAATCCAGAACTCGATCATATAAAAAAATATTATAATAAATATAGAAAATAGTTGCAGAAAAAAAACAAGCAACAGCTATAATTTTTCTAATTATTGTTTGAATTTTTCTACATATTTTAGTTACCTTATAGAAAAACAGTGCCCGTCGAATTGTAGAGTTTTGAGTAAGTATTGATTCAGCACAATAAAACCAAGCTAACAATTATTGAAGAATAGCAAAATGTTAAATAGATGATGTTTGTGTAAGACAAGTGTTCTTTTGCGATGCGATATTCACAATTGGTCAAGTATGAGTAAATGTCTTCCTTCAAAAGATGTCGCGTTTAGTCAATATACAAGAATTCTTATTGAAGTTTTTCAATTTCTTGTTCTATAATTTTTAATAACACAAAAAACTAAAGAACATATATGCCGAATTTTAGGAATATTGTCATCGACTATGTGTCTTATAATGGATCGTTCTGTCAAAATAGATAAATATTATTTCATTATTTGTCATCGAATGAAATCATTGTTATCGAAATAAATAACTCATGACTCCTTTTTTATAACCATAAAATGAAAGTAGTTACAATACCTGCTATCAAGAATGAAACTCATATATAATCTAATTTAATCTGTAGTATATTGGGATAATAATTATCAATTTTTGATATTAGTTCAGATATATGAGCAGCTAAAATAAATAACTGTGACTGTTTCAAGTTTAATATTCGCTTGATATAAATATGTTGAAATAAATAAATTTTAATTCAGCATTAATAAGTGAAAGAGGCATAAATAGTGTATGTACAAGTAAGGTTCTCAACTGATTCATGCTGTTTTCGCTAATATTTTGCGTGAATGCGGAGGGACTGGGGAGGGGGGCCTGTAATCTTATTCTAAGAAAAAATCTAAGAGAATTTTGGTTGATACGAATTTTTTCAATGGATATGAATATTTTCAGTCTCATTAAGAGAAAAATAATATAAAAAACCTCGTGAGTCGAGATCTGTAAATTGATCACGTGGAACTGTAATCAATAACGTGTGAACAAAGAAATAAAATTAAAAAAAGAACATACCTTACAGTGACAGGCTTGGAGAGAGGCGATTGCTCCTCCCTTCCGAAATATTTTTTCGATTTTTCTCAGGGAAAAATGCATAAAAATGAGCCGCCACAACCTCTAATGAATTTCAAAACATATTTCAAGATCATAATCATATTCTTCCCTCTCCCTTTACCAAAATGTGTCACTGACATCTTGCTCTTATTTCAATTGAACTGGAAAAATCGAAACTTTAAAAATGTTCATATTTCATATTTAATCTTAATCAAAAATAATGCTATAAAGAGAATAAGATTATTTCGTAAAAATCACACCTTCACTAATATTCTGATGATTAGTAGTTTTTTTTCACTATCATAATCATTATTTAACTATTCATGTTCATCTTCTTCATTAATTTTGCTTTTCTTTGAACTACAATCTTTGTCATCATCTTCATATTGATCAACAGATTTTCCTTTTGCCTGATAGATATGTAGAGAACGACAAATTGGACACCAGTCACCATGACTAAAAAAAGCATGATCACACAGGTCTCTACTTGTGAGAGATTTACTCTTACAAGAAAAAGAAACATTTATTTTGGTTTTAAACTTTCTAGAGTATTCTAAGCAGAACTAAATCGAGCTGCTGACAAAATTTCAGATTAAAATTCTTTAATTCAACTTTTATCAAGAAAAAGGTCCGACTATGAATAATCCACAATTTAGTGGAAGAGTTGTCATCTTTGATCAAAAGGCCTTGTATAAGTATCCTTTTAGGACTTTCTTAGCCTCATTCGTATATGCGTCTGCCCATGATATAAAATTGTAGCTTGAGCAGTTAGAGCAGTTCTTGTTTGAGTTATTGGAAGTTTATTAATTTGATTTCTGTTTTAAGAAATATTGAATATAGTCATATTTATTGAAATGATCGATCCGCATCAGCTGGAATCCTCATACGAGGGAACCCATCTGTCTGATAATCTCCGTTCGAGCTTATATTTTGCTAGTAGATAGGGCTCATAGTGTAGATGGAGATTCTGAAAAGGTTCGTCCCACTAATTCTCTCTTCTCTAGCTATGATCATTTCATTGAACTTTCAGCCTATTGCAGGATGTCACGAGAGAAATTATAACAAGGAATTTCGGCATGAGGGTGTGTAGAAGCCACCACAATCGATATCGACCTTGGCTAAGCGTCTCGTTAGATGGCTTAAGATCTCGAATATGACCTGAATGATTGAAAAAAGACAGGAATCTGTCGATAGAAAAAAGAGCAATTTGGATCTACTACTCTGATTGATCGCTTTGCAAAGATGTATTTTTTGAAAATAATTTTAGATATGAATAAGGTGCTTCATGGACAATAAAGCAAGCATAATTGATGACAGTATAAAGCTTGATGAAAGTGAAACATAGTTTGAATTTCTAAAAATACGGGACGCGTTGATTTATGTTATTAAAGCATTGTTCCATAATATTTGGTATCGGTAGAGTTAGTTTTTGATATGTCGAACAGAGTCTATAATTGTTTTCATTTCTGTTTTGTCAGTATCAAATCTGGTTAAAATTTCATTTGTTTTCGCTGCAACTCTTATGATAGTATTTCTCATCAAATCCGATTTTGTTCTTTACAAAATTTTCTCTAATGAATGAGTTGAAGTTGGCCGAGTATTTGTGTCATTAATTGCTTCTAATGATAACGATGTCAGTATTTAATGTGAATCAAATGAGTTCGATAAATGATTATGAAGAATACGTTTGTTTCAATTTTACGAAATCTGATTTCGCTTTTTCTTTTTCAGATTGGGTTCGAGAAAGAATCTCGAATACCTGTCTCTAGATAAAAATGATGATTTGTGAAGAAAAAAATAACTTCAAGAAGAATCGCGCTTGATATTCATTGGAATATTATTGATTCTTTTCTAGTTGAATCAAGCGATCGTAATAATCATATTCAACGATGGCGATTTTTACTCGATTGACACTTTGTATCAACTTTAACCATGTTGTTGAGCAAATTCAGTAATGGCTTCTTCGACTTCACATGTCAAATTATTGTTTCAACGTTGGTTGCTTTCTTTCAATTGAGTTTAATTATGTACGATTTGATTTTGGAAGTCTTGTAACACTATGAGAATAAGTTACACATGAATCATCATAATGATTCGTTAGCTTAGTATATTCAAGTCGTTGAATGAGACGAGTAATCTGTCTTAAATATTGAGTAGTAATAGAGCTGATAGTCTTTTGAAACAGAAGACTAATCATTTTTTCGAACATTTTAATAATACCTGATAAATATTTACGTAATAGTTTATTTGATTGCTCTTCTTCTTCTTCTTCTTCTTCTTCTTCTTCTTCGTCTGTTTTCAGTTTTTTTTCGTTATTGTTGGTGTTGTGGTAGATGAAGTTAAAGATGACTGTTTCTTTACTATTGATCGTGGCGATTGACCGTTATCTTTATCTGGTTCTTAACCAGAAGATGGTAAGTTACTTAACTTAATTTTTGAGACAAATGTTCTTCTGACATAGTTAGATCAATGAAAGTGTTATGGTCGTCACTAAATTTGTTCGACTTTAACCGTATTATAATATCATCATTATCTGTACAAATATTCATAAACAGATTATCAAATTCGACATTGATATCGTCATTCATCATCCATATCATCAACATATCGATGAAAAACATCATCGAATCGATTGATATATCTTTCAACCTACAAGTGACACTTGTTAGTCCCTAGCGAATCTCGCAAAGTTTTGAAATTTACGCGTACATTTTAGCGAAGACGAGTCATTTGTTTCATATGCAGTACACTCTTTGATTGAAATTAACAGAGATTACAATCCGAAACATACCACATTGGTTTTAATTATTTTGAAGATAGCGCATATACATATCTCGAACTAAAAAGAAAACTGAAGATGAGAACGAAAATTTTTTAATCTTCCTGAATTTTTACTCCATACATCACGCAAAGAAACATTTAATCTAATAAAAACATATAACAATGATAGTCTAATAGTGACATATTGTTCATTTAATATAATATATAATTATTCTATAATAAAACAAATGAAATTTAAGATTCTATATAAATGTATATTTACTTTGATGAAACTTTTGGTATTGATACAGGTGTATCATCATCCACTCGAATTCTACTATCATCTGTAATTTGGTAAGCGCTAAACAATAAGTGACAGAATCATTGATGTTATGTACATAAGTCATCCTGTTTTTATTCGATTCACCAATAGATTCATTAAAAACATAATCAACTGCTTTAATGTGTAGAGTCCATTTATTATTTATGTTCTTATATGAACCATGTGGCCTAGCATAATATGAAGTATCATCTTTACAAAATGATGGAATTTAACAATGTTCATTGTGTTTAAATGCTCTGTTGTACTATTGTTTGAATGGTTGCTGTAATTCAAATATATTCATATAATCTAATGCCCTCTCGAAAAGATATTTATAGTGAATAAATACCTGCTGATCATTTTTATTATCAATCGTTCAAACGAAGAACCTTTTTGATGGAAGAAATACAGTCTTCAATAATGTTTGTATCATTGAAAATAATTGTGTATTTCGGCGTGATAAGAATGATAATTCACAAAAATAGGACAATGCATTCAAGTTGTTCTACTTGTATCAGTTCGATTTTAATTAAAATAAGTTCTCTTACTTCAAGATGTCTTTCTATATGAATTCAACATATCATCGTGTTTTCACTTTGTTGAATGAGATTTATACTATGATTTATGGATTTTGAACGATGAATTGGAGAGATACAACAGGATTTCAAAGGTTGAAATGGACGTAATGTCAACAAGCTAATATGGTTTGTTCTAGTTGTTGCTGTTATTTAGATTTGCAACACTTCGTCATGTCATTGATCGGTTCAGGAAATGAAAGAGGAAGTTTTGCTTCATTCATAGCCATTTTCTTTTCATATAAATTCTGATATGTGTCTTAAAGGTATAACAAACAATAAGAATCGCTATCCTAAAATATAAAAAAGAACTACAAATGTAAAATATATTTAATATAAAAATCATAGAAGAAATTAAAAATGAACAAAACTAAAAAACATACCGTATAAAAAACAATAAAAAGCATAAAATGATTCCATCATAGTTGATTACCCATCAAACCAGAAGTCAAGAAGAATTACAATAATTGTTATTCAGTTATATTCAAGAATTTATATTGATACTCACAAAAAGTTCACCATTAGTATAAGCTGGTTTTGCAACAGCAAAACAGTCATCAGTAGCACCGTTGATCATTGATGAAATCTTGTCATTTTGTTATCTATGATTGTGATGATGAAGGTTTCTGTTTCATATGTTTAATGATTCACTTTTATCCAAAAACTGTCTAAACCTATTATCAATTGCTGATTTTAGTCACCAGGGGTTGTTACCAGTTTTTAGAATAATAGTATTGGGTATAATGCCATCTTATAAGTTGATCTTGTACATTGGCATGCGTGCTACATATAACGCATCAAATGTAAAAAGATTATATACTAAAAATGTTGTTAATTCCTTAGTGGCATTTCTCCAGGAAAAAACTTTTGCTATTCCGAATATGTTTAAATATGGAGAGTTTGGATGTGGGTGCGTGTAGATATACGTGACCCATGCCAAAATAGGTTTCATTTTTTCCACAATACTCATTGATACCGTCACTCAGGTCGAGAGATACGAACTCCGTATACGATCGTTATTCATCGTAATATCTGACTCAGTATTACGGTCGTATATCTCCATGAGCGTATACGGAGGTCATAAACGATCGTATTTTGATCAAATATGGTACACGTAGGATCGTGTTCTACCTATTGTTCACAACTCGTGTACAACTAAATTTACCCATATGCTTTGAACCGAACAAAAGCCGCCAGTATACCGATCGGACTATATATTGATTAACCGACGGTAACTGGTGAATACTAGGCAGCTAAACGACGGTTAATCAACTAATAGCTCGACCGGTATACCAGCAGTTTTTGTTCAATTCGAAGCATATGGGTTTTACTAAAATCAGATAATCTAAAATAGAAAAAAAGCACGTAAAATACAAATAAAATACTTAGTGCTTCATTGACATGGCAAATCAAGACGATCTAAAATAAAAAATAAAATAAATAAAATAATACTTACTGTTCTTTGAAGTGATGAGTCCACACAATCTAAACTAGAAAATAAAATAAGACAAATAATAGACACTTATTGTTCATCGAACAGATAGATAAAGGCGATCCACAATAGTAATTAAGCAATAAAATAAATAACAACTACTTACTGTTCATTGATCTGATAAACTAAAACAACCTAAAATAAGAAAATAAGAATCAAATAAAGTTATAGTACACACGTATGTACTAATTATTATACAGATACTTTCTTATGTATTATCCATAGTTTCTACGAACATTTCTTAATGTATGTGTCTGCAACATGTATAGTACTATCTACCCAAATTTTTTACTAAATGTTTTTCTTATCTACTTACATTGTCTCATCTCTATTTTTTCCTAACATAATTATCGCGCCGTATGCGTCTTTGTAGATTACTTTCTTCAGCATATGTCTAGAAGCTTCCTCACATAATTGCGTATATTAGTGAAGAGCAATGTCATAACATGTGGCTGCATATGAACTATATCGGCGTTCTGCATTATACGAATGAAAGTATAATGTAGGTATGGAAGAAATATATATGAACAAAGAAACACAAGAAATCAGGACACTAGTACATTTCGTCGCACAACAGTTTCTTTCGTTCTGTTCATCCCATCTCTCTTAATTAATTCTTTTTTTTTTATATAACCAACCGAAATAAAATAAAATAAATTAAAAATTCTACAAGATGTGTACAGTAACAATAGACAATGACAATTGACTGTTCTAAGGCATATGACTTTAATTGGGAAAACAGATCAATAAAAAACATTAATCATATGTGATTTGATTCTGATAGAGTTAAAGTGAACAAATAATAATTAGATTTGTCACTCGTTTAATGAGTTTCAACAAATTATAGACTAACGATAACAATGATCCAATGTTCTTAATTATGCGACCATCATAAACAAAATATACATTGATGATGTTGAAAATATATTTCATTTCTCAATCTTAACGTTCACTGAACATAACCCTTCAAACAAAATGTCTCAAATTGAAAAACTCCTTTCTGTAAGAGGAAAACCAATGCTTCTCTATGAAAGTTACATCTACACTATAGAACGTACAACAACGATATTTTCAACCTCATCAATGTATATTTTTATTTATCGTGGTCGCATAATTAAGAACATTGGATCAGTATTGTCGTTGATATAGATTATGTTGAAATTTATTAACTGAGTGGCAAATCTAATTATTCTTCGTTTACTTTAGCTCTATCAGAGTCACATTTGATCAATATTTTTTATTGATCCATTATTCCAACAAAAGTCATATGCCTTAGAACAGTCAATCGTCTATTGTTATTGTACACATCTTTTTAAATTTTAAATTTATTTTATTGTATTTCGACTGGCTATACAAAAAAAAGAATTAATTAAGAAAGATGGGATGAACAGAATGAAAGAAACTGCTGTGTGACGAATAGAACGCGACAAAGTGATCAGTCACCAACATACCATGGATTGACATTGGCAGAAATCAATGTAAATTTGTCGAGTTCTTCAATGATATTAGTATCAGTACCACAAACAAGAATAAAGGCAAGCGAAATTAAGATATTTTTGTAAAAAAACTCCATATTAGAGAGAGTGAGTTCGCGTACAGAAGGCAATGGAGGCGTGCTATTAGGTCATTGAGAGAGAATATCATAAGCGCAGGCTAGATCTCAAAAACCATCCAGTGCTAATGGACGAATAAAAATACTCAAACAACGTATAAGGAAATCATTGCGATCATCTAGAAAAGCTCGATAAAGAGAACATGAACAATGATCATTATGAAAAGCTAGTGTACGACGATCGTTTTTATTTTCAGCAAGCAATTTATCCAGACGATTTCACACGCCGATTAGTGAGTATACAATGTCGAAAAGTGTCAAATAAGTTGAAATTTTAAATAAGAGGTCATGTGGCAGTTCATCGAATTTCATGTTTCATTGATTTATTGTGCATACATTTATTTGAAATCTTTGTATATTCTGTGTCGTCCGTTCACTTCGATCAGTTCATATTGCTATAATTATATTACAATGATTAATCGTTTTTTATTTGTTTTATACAATGATGGAGACTGATCAATCTCGCAATATGAATATATCCAAAACAATATACAAACGGACGACCAATCTATACATTAGACAATGAACAGACAATAAATGGTGGATATAATTTAAGTATTTTTTTTATATAGTGTTTCACAAAAAATTCGCATAATATAAGATCAGAATTAAATGTGAGTGGGTGTGGATGTGGGCATAGGTGACCCACACCACATCTGCATCCCATTCTGCAGTAGACTGAAAATTCAGTAAAATGATCGTAACTCGAGACGAACTAATGACATGAACCATTTCAGGATTGTCATCTGTACTATGAACTCAAACGGGGATTATCAGTCGAATGGGTTCCCTCGTTAAACTTATTCTTATAATAAGATCCCCAAAACATAAGATATCACCGAAAATAGCGTAGATATGTTGCAGATCTTTCTTTGTCAGCTATTCATCCTTTTTAAATCATTTATTAGCTAATTTGAAAGCTTCTTGAGATATAAAATTGCAATAAACTTAATTTTTTAACCATAGAATTTGAGACAATGTACAAAGTTCTTATATAACAGTTGATGCAAATGAATGTCATAAAATTGCAGTTTCTTCTATATTAGATCGATTTTTATGGTTTCATTTATTTGAAAACAACAACAACAATTGAACATTCTTGTTATCAAGATGCTAACATGACAAAAAAATTAACACTTAGCAAGTGGTGTTTGTGTCAAGAGTAATCGATATCGTGTCTTGAGTTTAAGTCGTTGTCGTGAATATTGGTCATCCGGTGAAAATTTAGCTAAAAATTACAGTAAATTTAAAAAGAATAACATTCATTAACAAACAACAGAAAATACCTGGATGAGCGGATTGCGTAGGATTACCTGATGGATCGACTTTCTACAGACGAAAAGAAAACGCAATTTTTCAAAAAGAAAAAACATACTGAAGCAAAAAATTTAATGATTTACCTTGAACGTATAAACACGTTCACCTTTATCATTAAGATAATACATTAGAAACATATTTCTTTTTATAAGAATTGATCTTGAAATAAACAAAAACAAAAAATAACGATCAGATTCTACGTTTATATATTTTAATAGTTGAATAGAAAATAGAGATCTGTACTTACATATATATCTGAACAAAAAAAGGAAAAGGTTCAATCATTATGATTATTTGAAAATATACATAAGAAAAAATAATAATAACAAAGTAGAAGGAATGCAGCATCATTTAACAAATAGAAAACAAATAATAAGAAATAAATGAAAAAAAAATACATTGCTGATTTTTTTTTAATATATGATATAAGTAGAAGAATAAAACATCTGACTATATGCATAACATTTAATCAGAAAATATATACAAGAGAAAAAAAGAAAATAAATGATGAGATTAACATATTAGTACTGTTTCCTTCTTGAATTTGAATTAAAGACATACTGTGTAAAAACGAAAACATATTTAATCGGAATCATTATCATTATTTATTTGCATAAGTGTGCGTTTTGGTTGAGGCATTCGTAGAATACGCATGTCATCAGTAATTTTAAGAAAACTAAAACAATAAAAACAATGATTCATTAATAAATAAATAAATCAATACATAAATTCAATTTTTACCTCAGATCTTGTGGTGTTAAAAATATATATTGTTTTTTCTTTTCACGCGCAACTTCAAGAACAAGATTCATAGCTGTTCGACGTGTTACATGATCCTAGGAAAATCAATGAATAAAATGAAAGAGAGATTCATGAACAAGTCAAACCTACAACAAGTAGGGCTGCTTTGACTTCTATTCCTTAAACTACAATGGTAATATTCAGTTACGATTTCTGACTCCACTCCCCTGTCAATTTCAATGTCTTAGTTGTCTAATTTCAATCAAGTTTTAGCATTTTAAATAATGACTCATCATTGAGAGTGTCAAGCAGATAAAACCATAGAGTTAGTTTTGTTCTGTTTTCTATTTAAAACCACGTTTATAATACTCTTTTAAATGGATACGATTGAATACTGTTCATAGGATATAGTTTGGAAAGATACTCTGCAGTTCCAAATTATTTTAGTAGCGAAGTATTGTACTATTGCTGATGATCTGTATTTAACCATTGCTTTTTACATTATTCCTATTACAAAGTCAAAGTTGACATATTCCATAAATCATACGAATACTCAATCTTAGAACTGTCACGCAACAGTCCCTTAGCAGACATGTTCTGTTGGTTAGAAGAGTAGAGAGAACATTTCGAAAAAAAATTCATAACGTGAATAAGAATTATCCGAAACTTGAAATTTTTGCAATAGGAATCTTCAATAAAAATTCGATTATCAACTAATAATTTTTGATATAATCTATCACTGAATCATACTGCTTAACAGTTATAATCTCTAAAATCTCTTAAATTCTATTTTATATCGAAAAAAAAAACAGTATTTTCTTTTACCATGAAAACATCGAATTCATCAAGACAACGTAATGGCATTTCAACAACTTCCCAAAGAGCAAGCATAAAGCAAACAGTCGAAAACGAACGTTCACCGCCCGATAATGAACGAGTATCTTTATGAACTTCATCACCACGTGGTGTAATCTATAGATTATAAATACAAATAATTTCGAATATAAATATAAATAAAATAAACAGACTTCAAGTGAAAGAGTTCCTTCTTGATGATCAAAAATAGCTTCACCAGTATAATTTCTTGATTCAAGAAATGAACTAAAACAGCTACTAGTTAATTTAGCTGTTGATTCTAAAAGATTTTTATATTGCTGACCACGATGACGTGCAGCTTTAAATAATTTCTATAAACAATATAATATAGTTTTAATAAATAAAAAAAAAAGAACAATTCATACATGAATAAGTTTTTCTTGTTTATCAACAATTCGACCAAATGTATCTAAATTTTCATTAACTGCTTCTAAGCGATCTTGAATTTGTTGTACATTATGTGAACTAACAAATAAATAATATTTCATCATCAAAATGCTGATTAAAAATATAAGAAAAACATATTTTTGATTTTTTTTTCTAATATACTAAGTATTCAATTCTAATCTAAACAGTCATTTGAATAGTCAAGAAAGTTCTCTGTTAAATACATTTTATACTCGAAATTTTACAGAGCGAACTTGAGAGGAAGGTTTCTGACAAACCCAATATGATAGTTTTCAAGTCTCAGAAAACAATGTGAGATTTAGTTTCTAAGAGTACTATGTTAAAAAGCATGATATCCTGAATAAAACGAAGAGTTACCTCATTTCCTGCGACTTCTTTTTAAAAAGTTATAAACATGACAAGACGAAATTTATCATAGAATTGCTAAAAACACGCATTTTTGCTTCTTTTATGATGCTTATACCTTCGTACGGGAAGGTCGTAGAAACTGCAACAACTCTTTATTTTATTCAGGGTTTTATGTTCTTTACGATAGGTCTCTTAAACACTAAATCTCACACAATCTTCTAGGACTGGAAAACTTTCTCTCATAGTCTATCTGTTGTATTTCGGGTATAGAATGCATTTAATAGAGAACTGCATTGACTATTCAAATCATTATTTAGATTTCAGTTACATACTTAGTATCATAGAAAAAAAAAGCTTGTTAGTGCGGTCTCTTTGAAGGTAACATTTGAAACTCACATATTTTCTTTAGTTTGATTACATTAATACGATATACGTAAAATAAAAAGTCTCTCGCAGACTATAGCTGTTCACCAAGATTATCGATCGCCAGAGAAGCTATCCGTATTATTTATTTCTGCGTTTCACACAGAACTTTTTTCTAGTCTTTGCTTGCCTTGTTATTATTCATTCATTATTTTTCTTTTTGGCATTCCCTTTTCCCTAATTTAACATTATTATTATTCTAACTACATTAACTGGCAAGATCGCTAAGAGGTGTAATTGCAGGTGGTAAAGAGTCGCAAAATATTGACTTGAAACCTACACTCAAGGTTTTCTTCGAAAATTTTTGTGAGTTCCACAAAAGACCAATGATGCATTGGTCTTATATTTTTGACCAGTACCATATATAGGGTTTGATTAAAATATACATACACATTTTTATTTGTTTCAATAAATTTTAGAAGAGCATCAAGACTTCGTCGAATTGTTTTGACATCAATTTCACCTTTAGGTCGTTCTTTAACTATATTTTGTGCATTTTCAATTTGTATATGATGTTTATTTTCAATAAATTTTTTTGTAGCTTCACGTTGTTCTAATTTTCTTTGGTTATCATCAAGTCCTTTTTGTAATTCATTTATAGCTCTTTGTCCATTTTCTTTTAAAGCATCACATGTTTGAAGTTCTGTTTTACATTGCTCAGCTTGTTCACGTTTCTCCATAACACGTTGCCGTGCTTGTGCTAAATCATCTAAAACTTGTCGATATTCGGTTGATTCCATTTCAGCTTTTGATTTTTGATCTTTAATACGCTGTTTAAGAATTTCAATACGATTGTCATATTCAGATAATTCATTTTCACAATCATTCATATTAGAATCATTTGGTGCTTCAATTAGTTGTAATTCTCGAAGTTCCTTTTGAAATAAAAAATTTCAAACATTTATAAAATAAAAGGACGATGATGGATAAAACTGTTTTCCGGATTCTCATAGAGCTGAGATTTTCGTATTGAAATCAAGCCAGGGATGATTCACGAATGTATTCTACAGGTAAAAATCATGATAAATAACATTACGCATCACGGTTTTTGTGACTCAAGATACCCTCAAGAGATTTGAGAAAAATCTTTTTCGTGCATTTCGCTCGCTATAGTCCTAGATATATCAATTCAATTGTGTTGATTACGAATATGATATTTAGAATGAATAGCAATGCATTACTTGCGGGCTACCGTAAGCTCGATGAAGTCATCCTTCGGGTTTCCTAGCTGGACTTTGTTAGCTTTGAACTAAAACATCAAATGAGTCATGTTGAAAAACCCAACTGTTACTTACTCAAAACTGTGAGGTCTATCCGAATTCGAACAAGCAAAAATTAGCTAAAGCGAAATTACACAATAAACTAGCGATTTCAGGATAAAATGCGTCTCTTAGAGATAATGCTTGATTGTGCCCAGTTTATTCATTTACGAAGTCGATGCTACTTCAACGTGAAACTTTGTGAGCGTATGTACCGTTTTGAGCTCTATCTAATGGCACTTTAGAAAGATAGAAGAAAATCTACAGAAAGGTTTTTCAGAAGACTTTTGGAGGACATTACTTAGATCTGTGGAAAATCAGTGCCGCCATCGTATTACTCATAGTCAGAAACCTTTGTATCCAAGTATTTGAAGCAATGGATAGAGCTAAAATAGTGACGTATTTTTACAAGCTTTTTCGTTAAAACATCACCGATTTGATAAACAGGACGCGGGCACAATCAAGCTTAGAGTCTGAAACATGCATTTTAGCCAAAAATCGGTAGTTTCTCGTTTAACTTGACTTTAGCTGATTTCCTCTTGCTCAAGTTAGTAAAGTCTAGCTAAGAATTCCTAAGAGTGACTACATCGAACTTGCTGTATCCCACAATGAATACATTTCTATTCATTCTAAATATTATATTCATAATCAGGATACTCGAATCGAAATATCTAGGTATATTGTGAGCAAAATACAGGAGAAAAGTTTTTTTCGAGTTCGTGGATAATATCCATAGTCAGAAAAAACCATATGCGATTTATCATGATATTGACTCAGAAAATAGTTTTATCTACCATCAACCTGTATATTAGCTTTACTTTTCCTAATCGACCACATTTGATTTTAATTTCGTTTATTGTTGTATCTAATGCCGTGACTGTTTGTTGATGTTGATTTACTCGTTTTTGTGTTTCACTTAATTTTTCTTTAACTTCTTGAATTTGTCGTTCAATATTATTACAATCTTTTTCTGCACGACTAAATTGTTTTTGTGTTTTTTAAAGTTTTCATAAAAACGAAACGAAAAATCTATGTCAAACATACGTAATTTGTTCAGCAAGATCTTCAACAAAAAATCGAGGATTTTGAGTTTTACATGTATAACAACGAAATACATTTGTATTTTGCATTTCTGTACCATTTGGAAGATAAGCCTTTGAAGAAAACAAAGAATATGAATTCTTATGATAAAATTTAAAAAAAACGCCTTACAGCAACACAATTTGGTGGAGCGCTTTTTTCCATAATACGACGAGCCGTTTCATAACTATCCATTAGAATTCTTTGTTCAATACGTCCCTAGAATATACTTAGATTTAAATAAAAATAAATCAATATTAAAATAAACCTGATCAATTAAAAAACATGCAACTGTTGGATTATCAATATCAAGCATTGATAAAATTGTTGTGAAATTCGATGGTGGTAACTAAATTAAAAAAATATTTTCTTATATATTAATGCAGAAAAAAAACAAAGATAGTTACTCGAAGATTTTGATAGACTTTTGACTGATATTTCATTACTATTAAATAAGGTAAATAAAAATAAAATACAAAAACCAAAAGATTTTTACCGGTAACACTTGGTCGATAGTCCATTTCTTGTGCTGGTACACAACGTGAAAGAATTTCAAGAAAAACTCTTTCATCTTCACGACACGAACAAAGATAACCTTGTATAGGATTTCCAATAGCTTGTTCAATAGCAATAGCCCATTTTCGATCAACAAGACGGATATGTTTACCTAAAAATATTATTCTCTAATTTAGATTATCTCAAATATGATTCTGTGTATTTTTAATCAGTACTACTGATCTTTCAAAGATTGGTACGGCGCATATATATATATATCGCTCATACAGCTACGCCAGTTAGATCAATGATAAATCAAATCCATCCATAAATCTGAACTGTTCTAGAACGAGAAACGTCTGCGTGCGTCTCTTGCCCAGAAAGAGTTCATGTAGGCTATATTTCTATTATAAATTAATTGCATTTTTTCATTTACATCCTTTTCTCTATCATGATTTGAAGTGTATGGAAGCAAAACTATTTTACAGATTTTCAAGAAAACTGTGCCATATATAGCTTATTGCAGTTTTTTTACCAACAACCTCATTGAGTTTCGGTGGATAGATTAAGTTTTACAGAGTTAAATAGAGTATGAATTTCTCTATCCGATACTTTCTATCAAGAAATAAACCACAAAAAACTGTATGAAATAAATGCTTTTGTTGCTATAAGAGATAAATTTTGTGAAACATAATTTAAGCGGAGGGTTGAAGTGTTGAGGTAAACATTTGGATCTTCCACTCACTGACAACAATCAGAGAATACTACAGGCCATAAATAGCGTTGTTGATACACAATCATAGACCGTTTATCAATCACATCTCATTAAACTACTTTCTAGTTCCATGTCTGTAAGATTAAGTAAGAAAATGGTGAAAGAATGTATCCAAAAATAGATAGAATAAAACAATCTTTCTGTGAATAACAACAGCAACTTTCTTTGATCAAGTTCTTAAATGAAAAAAATGTTTGCAGCAATTCATTCTGTTAAATTTCGCTAAACTTCAAAGATTTTCATCAATACGAGTTGGCACGCATAGATAGATTCTCTATGTCTGTTCCTACACATAGAGATTTGTAATATTAATCTCGGTAGCATTAATCCCTATGGAAAGAAAAGCTGGTTTCAGTATTACAAGAACCAGTTATCAAGTAGATGCACATCTCAACCTATACGTTTTACTTTTTTTTTATAAAATTCAGCGGCAAAAAAAGAAATTGATTGTCAATGAAGTATTGATTATTCGATCCTTCGCACTACTCGTAGTTCCTTAAGATAGTAATGTTCAATTTACGTCTTATGTTCAGCCGAGAATATAAATAACGGCCTATCGAAAAATAATTTAACAAAATGTTCGTTCATTTTTCAACCTCTTAAAGTAATATGTAGAAATCTGACAACATTGGATAAGAATCACAATTTCATATTCTTTCTGATTATGAATTTAAAAATCTTTGCAGAACTTCTGGTGTAGGAGTTATAGGTCAACCTATCGAAATCAGTACATTGAATTTGGACGGATTTCAGCTCTTAGAAACTTACCTAAAGTATGAACGAAAATAATTTCAAAGACAGCAAATGAAAGAGCAAACATTTCTCTATACTAATTAGTTCCGTTCAAACTTAATTTTCGCGCCTCT